AAAACCACCTGGATGATTCAGAGCCATGTGGCTGAAAGGCAACAATGGCTGAGGTGTAAACTTTCAAGGTAGACTTGGAAAGTCCTAGGTCAAACAGATGCCAAAGATAGAGGAGGAGCGTAGACAAAACCACAGGTGAAGATTGCAATTTGTGCTCCTCAGTGAACTTAAGAAAGTTTCGCCACTTGTATTTGTAGAGTAGCTTAGTGGCTGGCTTCCTTGCTTTATCAATGACTTCTTTTATTGAAGGGAAATCCTCCACGCTGTCAAGTGGAGAGATTCCAAGTCTGGATGAAGGATGCCCCCTGTGTCCTGAGTGATCAGGTGTGGTAGAAGGGGTAACCGAATCCTGTCCACCACTGATTGCAGGAGCATGGAGAATCATGGTTGTCGTGGCCACCAAGGAGCAATGAAGATTGCCTCCGCTTCCATCTGGAGTTCCCTGATCAGGGCTCTCTGAATGATGGGTATCAGTGGAAAGAGGTAGAGGAGCCCTCTGTTCCATGGAACCATAAAGGCATCTCCTAGGGACCCTTCGCCCTTTCCTGCACGGGAAGCATATTTGTCGCACTTCTTGTTGGTCTGCGTCGTGAACATGTCCATGGATGGACGTCCCCACTTGTGACATAGACTCAGGAACACCTCCTGATCGAGTTCCCACTTGTGAGATTGAAAGGAGCGTCTGTTCAACTCATCTGCCAGCTGGTTGTCCGTCGTGGATACATGGATGGCCACAGGGAAGATGTGCTGATAGTAGCACCACTCCCATAGGTGAACTGCCAGAAACAGAAGGGACTTCGACCGTGTTCCTCCCTGCTTGTTTATATAGAACATGGTCGTCGTGTTGTCTGTGACTAGTTGTATCATTCTGCCCTTGACCAGAGGGAGAAATGCTCTGAGAACCTTCATCACCACCATCAGCTCCAGGTGACTGATGTGGAGTGAGACTTCTTGAGGGGACCAAAGAGCGTGAATTTGGTGTCCCTTGCAGTGGGCTCCCCAACCTAGGGGACTGGCATCTGTTGTAACCTGTCGTGTTAACTGCAGGAGTCGAAAAGGTCGTCCTACGAGAAATGAGGTAGGAATGTCCACCACTGAAGTTGTTCTGCTAGCTCTGGAGTGACTGTTAGACGCTTGCGCTGGCTGTCCTGCAGAGGATTGAATAGAGCAAGTAGCCAAGACTGAAGGGAGCGCATCTTGAGGCGAGGGTGGGATAAGGCACAAGTTGTTGATGCCATGAGACCCAGAAGATGTGCGTGTTTTGCTGATACTCTGCCCTTGGGCTTGAATTTCCAAACTGCCCTTCTTATTTTTTGTATGCACTCTGGAGGTAAGAACATGCGAGCATGGACTGAGTCCAGTCTTGCCCCGATGTAATCCGTTACTTGAGATGGTTCCAAGTGGGACTTCTCGTAATTTATTGACAGGCCTAGAGTCTGTAGAGTGTGTAGAACATACTGTGTGTCCTTGACTGCTCTTGCTCTGGATCTGGACACAATCAACCAGTCGTCAATATAAGGGTAAATCGGTATCCCTTGTAGACAGAGGTAAGCTGTCAGCGGGGCCATGCATTTGGTGAAGGTCCTGGGAGCTGTTGAGAGGCCGAATGGAAGAGCCACATATTGGTAGATGGTGTCCATGAAGATTAGACGCAGGTATTTCCTATACTTTTGATGGATGGTGATGTGGAAATACGCATCTTTTGGATCCACAACAACAAACGAGTCTCCTCTTTTCAATAGGTGAATGATTGCTTCTAAAGTGACCATCCTGAAAAGAAGTGGTTTGAGGAAGGTATTTAGGTCCCTTAGATCCAGAATTGGTCTTAGACCGCTGTCCTTCTTGGGTACTGTGAAGTACCGGGAGTAAAAACCGTTTAGTATGTCCCGGTTTGGTACCTTCTGGATGGCTTGTTTTGCAAGAAGGGTGAGAATCTCTTCTTCTAGGATGGGATCGAATGATGTAGGCTTCACCCATCCCAGAGGAGGCAATTCTATAAACTCCAGCCGGTAGCCTGAGCTTATAATGCTTAAGACCCAGGAATCTTGCGTTATCTTGAGCCAGTTGTGAAGATGAGGAGATAGGCGGGTTGTGTGGTCCATAGTGGAGATGGTTCTGGTGAAGTCAAAGATATTGTTTGGACTTCCTCCCGGATGGCCTGTAAGACTGTCGCTTGGTTGATTGGGGCTTAAAGGTAGAGGTGGAAGAAGAGGCCTGGGAAGACCTTAGTTGACCTTGGTTCCGGAAAGGACGATAGGTGGAAAGTGTAGACTGGTGATATGATTGTTGTGAATATTTCAGACGCCATTGGAATTTGGAGGTTCGAGGTTGTTGCTGGATAGAGTAAGTCTTTTTACTCTTTTGCAAGTTCTCCAGGTTTTCATCAGTTTTTTCACTGAATAAGCCAGATGCATCAAAGGGTAAAGTCTCAACCCTGGTTCTAATATCCTCCATGATATTTGCTGATCTGAGCCAAGCATGGTGTCATAAGGTGATGATAGAAGCAAGATTTCTGGCAGTGGCATCCGCAATGTGTCGGGATGCCAAGCATTGATGTTTGGACACAGTTAATGCTTCAGAGTGGGCGTTGAGGCATATCTGCCTGATATCCTCTGGTGCAACTTGCAAAGCTGGTAGAACTCTTGCCCAGAGTTGCTTCTGGTATACACCCATGGCTACCAAATAATTGATCATCCTTAAGACAAAAGTGGTCATGGTGTAAAGTCGACGTCCCAACACTTCCAATTTCCTACCCTCTTTATTTATTTATTTATTTATTTATTTATTTATTGGACTTATATACCGCCCCATAGCGCTACAAGCACTCTCTGGGCGGTTTACAATTTTAAGTATACAGGCTACACATTGCCCCCCCAGCAAGCTGGGTACTCATTTTACCGACCTCGGAAGGATGGAAGGCTGAGTCAACCTTGAGCCGGCTACCTGGGATTTGAACCCCAGGTTGTGAGCACAGTTTTAGCTGCAGTACAGCGTTTTAACCACTGCGCCACGAGGCTCTTTGTTGGAAGGTGTAGCATGATCCTTTGTAGGAATCTTCGAAGAACTGGATTCCACTACCAGGGAATTCGGAGCAGGGTGCTTCAGCAGAAAGGAGGTTTTAGGACCATGAATCCGATAGAGGTTTTCAGTCCTTCTGGATATTGAGGTGGAATTGGCAGGATGTTCCCA